CCATGAGGGGCACGTCGATAGAACAACCACAGTGTGCACAGTGTCCACCAGTGGGGGAATCAACAATACTCAATTTTCCAAGAGTGAGCCTTCAACACCACCAACAACAACAACGCCAACGCCAATCTCCACCGCGGAACCCCACTTCGGCCGCTCACCCGGGGACAACGAATGACAGCTCATCCTCCTCACTCTGACATGTACACGTTCCCCAATCAGAGTTTGCCCTTTGTAGGGGTCCTAGCGGATTCATATGTTTAGGTTAGGTTTGCCGCCGATTTTCGCCGCACGCCCGGGTGCCTGGGTGCCCGTGTGCCCAGGTGCATGGGTACCCATGGGGTGCCCAGGTGCCCGGTAGCTTTATATAGCCCTATCGCCCATAGCCCTGTAGCCCTATAGCCCCAATAGCCCTATAGTCTTATAGGCTTATAGCCCGATAGCCCTATAGCCCTACAGCCCCATAATCCTATAGCCCAATAGCCCTATAGCCCTATGGCGCTGTAGCCCTATAGCCCCATAGCCTTCTAGCCCTATAGCCTTATAGCCCCGTAGCCCTAAAGCCTTAAAACAATTATGATTGGGTTTTTTTTCTCCGGTAACATACTATATATATGTATATATAAACACTTGTGTATATACACGGTGGAAAGACAGACGCTAGATAATAAGTAGTTGGGAGGGAGGAGCAGCACGAGCCTCATTGGAGTCCACGTCCAGCAAAGCTGCGCCGGAACGCTGGTCTACTGTTCTGTTCTGTTCTGCTGCTGCACATCTTTAGCTCTGTTTGGGTCGCTTTGTGTTCGTTCTGGTGTTGTGAAGGTGTCCGAACAACGTTTCAGCCAGAACAAAGCATCATGCGCCATGAGCGCTCGAACAAACAAAAACCAACACAACGAACCATCGCGAGTGAAAAACAAAAAGCGCAACAAAACGCAACGCCAGCCTGGCGTCAACAACACAGCAACAAAACACGAGGGCGCCGAAGCGAAAAGGGAAAACATGAAGGCGCCAATCAAAAGGGCGCCAGAACAAAACGAAACAAAACAAAGCAGACGTGAAGGAGAAAGGGGGAAACGAAAGGAAGGGCAGCGGACAGCGAAGACGGACCGTGATAGCGACCCTTAGCAACTATGAAGAAAGGAAGAGCGCAAAACAAACAACGAATGACGCAGAACAAAACTCGAGGGCACCAGGGAAAAAACGAAGGGCGCCGTCGAAAGAAGCCAAGGCCGCCGAAAAAAGCCAAGGCCGCCAAAAAAAGCTAAACCCAGCGAAAAAAACAACGCCGACAAAAATGCGAAGCCCGCAGAAACAACAAAAACAAGTATTTTCCTGGCGGGTTTCGCATTTTTCCGGTGGGTTTCGCATTTGTTCTGCTGCCTTGGCTTTTTTCTGCGGCCTTGCCTTTTTCCAGAACCGAAGGTCCGAGCCTTCCGCCACACAAGGGATCCCCCAGGAGGCCCCAAGAGGCGCCGAAGAGGCCCCAGGAGGCCCCCAAGAGGCCCCCAAGAGGCCCCCACGAAGCCCCAAGAGGCCCCCAAGAGGCCCCCACGAGGCCCCGAAACAGCCCGCAAGAGGCCTCAAAACTGCCTCCAGGAGGCACCCGAGAGGTCTCCCGTCCCCCACGAGGTTGCAACGACCATCCAGTAGGCTCACAACCCAGAACCCAGGCACGGGGGCGGGTCTTGCCGTGGGCAGCTGCATACTCGATGCTCCCTGCTCCGTGCCTCTGGAGGCCCCCAGAGGCCCCCAGAGGCCCGAGACTGTCCCAAACCTCGATCTTGCAGGAGGATTTGACCTGACCGCTCGCTCCCTCCAGCGCGCCGCGCCGCGAGCGGGCGGCCCATCCGCTCTCTGTTGGGCCGCTCTGGGGGCGCCTTCTGGTGCGGCCAGTGCTTTTATTGCTGGCACGTGCAAGAAAGATGCTGCGCGACGTGCCCGCCCCGTGGCGGCGGCACCGGCGGAGAGAGGTTGCCAGGCCTGCAAAGGGGTGCAGAGCATCTCGCTGGGACAGGTTAGATGTCATGCACTCAGCGTCGGGCCAGTCCACGCTTCCACCCAATCAGGGCGGCGCCGAGGGACTGCGTACCGAAAAAGGCAGGTGGCCATGACTCGCGTTCTTCACTAACTAATTACTCGCGCGGGAAGGACAGCGGATCCGGAGAGCAGCCAGGGCTCGGCAGGGATTGGCTGCTACTTGGGGTCTGCCACCTTCCCCACCGTGCCCAGCATCACGGGGACCGCGGGAGCTCCCACAGGCTGCCCGACCACGGCCGAGGGCCGCATCGTCGGGGGGGCCCGGCCAGGTCGCCGCACGTCCTCGCAAACGGGCTTCAGCAGGTTGCCAGCACCCAGTCGGAAGCAGCACTTGGTGTGAACGTCGGTGATCTCGTCCACCTGCCTGCCCTCCTGCACGGCCATGCAGAAGGGGAACCACCAGTAGCAGCAGAAGTCCTTGGTCCACCGACGCTCGGGCGCCGGGTCTCCGAGCGCCTCGCGGAGCTTCCTTCTCTGGCCAGCGAGCCAGGCCGCCAGCAACATGTGCGAGAAGAGTGCGCCCGTGCCCATCAGACCGTCGGACCAGTTGTCGTCGGACCAGCCGTCCCAGCTGACCATCCTGGGCAGGATTAGCTTCCACACCACGGCGATGAGCTGGCCGGACAGCCAGACTGCCACGACGGCGTGGACGTACGCAAAGTAGCCGGGCCCGCCGATGTTCGCCGCCGTGTAGGTGTCGCCGAGCCTGGCACCGAGACAGAGGCAGGCGTACCAGCAGTAGACGTGGTCCTGCAAGCAGCAGTCGCCGCAGAAGGTGTACCTCCACACGCCACCACTCCATGCGATCGCGAGGCTGAGAGGGGGATTCTCCTCCCAGCCCTTCCAGGGCCCTCGCTTGTCGACGATCCCGCGCTTGTAGAGGAATGCGCCGACATAAGTGAGAACGATGCTGATGGTCACAGCTAGCATCCATTGAAGTTCACTGGATTGGGGATTCAACCAGAGAGCGTCTGCGCCTTCCTGCTGAGAAAGGCGGCGCGAGTCCGCATGGAGCGTGCCATTGAGATACGGCCACGCCGCCCATTCGGGTGCCCCTGCGGCGAGCACCTCCAGTTGTGCCTGGCCTGACTCCGGTAGCACGCCCTTAAGAGCCTCCAACACCGCGGCGTCGAAGTGACCCCCCACAGACCAATGGAGCGCATAGAAGAGAAGCATCGCGGGGTGTCCCAGCAGAGACACGATCAACAGCAGCATCGCGAGCCTGAAGAACTCGCTGCAATCTGCCCACGCAGCCGATGAACAAAAAAAAACGACGCTGTCCTTGAGCCAAAACGGCTACTTATATGAATCGTCTTAGGGGCCGTCTGGGAGCCGTCGAGGTGCCGCCATGGAGGCCAGCAAGGAGCCTACGAGGCAGTGTTGGGACCACCTTGGGTCCATCTGGGGGCACCTGGGGCCGTCTTGGGGCGTCCTGCAGGCCTGCTGGGCCCTGTACGAGGCCTCTCCTCTGACGACCTCATTTTCTCGGGTCTCTGGCTCCCGAAACGCTCGACCCCTGCCCCAGGAAGCGCTTCACAGCGTGAGTCCTGCTCCACAGCCAGAGGGCCCAGAAGCGCCCCTGGACGCCGAACATGGGGGGAAAAGCTCTAGCGCGGTTCTTTCCGAGTCGCTGGAAGAGAGGATCCGCTCCGCTGCAAAGTCGGCCTCCGCTGACCTCATGGGGTGCGCTCTGGCCAGAACATTTCGAGGCGGATCCCGCCCTGCGTCGAGGGCACCCCAGCTGGCCCCAAGGGGCACAACAACACATTCAGCAACATTGAATCCGCCACCGTGGTCCCTGGCACGTTGAGGCCCGAGGTGGCCTCAAGATGGCGCAATAAGCTTCCAAGTCGCCCCAAGAGGCCTCCAAGAGGTCTCCCAAAAGGGCCCCCAAAGGGAAAACACCATTGATGTTCCTTGCGTTTTCGGAGGATTTGGGCGTTCTCGCCTGTTCGGCTTTCCGACCCTCCAAGACAGCCCAAGAGGCCCCCAAGACCATCGCAAAACGGCCTAAGTGGCCTCCAAGAGGGCCCAAGGCGGCTTAAGAGCGCCCCAAGACGGCCCAAGAGGCGCCCACGACGGCCTAACAGGGGGCCTCGAGACAGCCTAAGAGCGCCTCAAGACGGGCCAAGAGACGCCCAAGACGGCCCAAGAGGACCCCAAGACGGCCCCCAAAGGGGACCCCAGAGAGGGAACACGAACCGAAAGTCAGAGCCTTCCACCCCAAGGCCCCCACGAGTGGGAGGCCCCAAAGAGGCGCCCAAGAGACCCCAAGAGGCCCCCACGAGGCCCCAAGAGGCCCCCAAGAGGCCTCCAAGAGGCCCCAAAACGGCCCGCAAGAGGCCTCAAACTGCCTCCAGGAGGCCCCCGAGAGGTCTCCCGTCCCCCACGAGATTGCAACGAACATCCACTAGGCTTACAAGCCAGAACCCAGGCACGGGGGCGAGACTTGCCGTGGGCAGCTGGATACTCAATCCTCCCTGCTCCGTGCCTCTGGAGGCCCCAGGGGGCCCCCAGAGGCCCGAGACTGTCCCAAACCTCGATCTTGCAGGAGGATTGACCTGACCGTTCGCTCCCTCCGGCGCGCGGCGCCGCTCTGTGATGGGCACATTCAGCCTCCCACTCTGCAAGGGAGAGGCCAAAAGAGTGTTGAAGCGCCCCGTGGCAACGTGTCCGTGGGAGGGCTCCAGGGTGGAGGACCTGTTTGAAGCCTGGTGGGGGCCAGAGCTGGCCTTGCTGTATCCTGGCCTGGCACACATCGGGCAACGGCATTCGCCAGCTTCTAATGGATCCACACGCAGAGCATTCGTCGGAAGACGACTCGTGAGCGGAGGGAATGTGACAAAGAGGGATGAGGGAACGAAGATGGGGCATGTTATTTTCAAGACCTCATGGCCTCAACTGCCGGAAGACAGCTGAACGAAAGACAACTGTGCGGAAATACTGTGAACCGCGTTAGCCGTCTACCTGCGCATGTGCTTGCCGCACGGCTTCGCAACAACAACGCCACGACTTCTCCTGCAAGGGTCGACCAAATCATATAGGTAACTCCGTCGCTCTGGCTGCATCAGCCAATGTGAACGCCAAGGAGGCCACACCACCGCGAAGCCTACAGCCTCCACCTGATGAGATGGTGCCCAACCGAAATGCCGCGAGTCCTCAGAGCGCTGCGGGTTATCGCCCTCGATCCAGCACCAACCCCGCCCTGTGTCCCCTTCTTCGGCGGCGAAGAACTTCAGTCTTTTGACCATCCGGCCCTTCTTGTCCACCAGAATCACGACCTCCCCCACCTGCGGCCAGAAGCGCAGGCGGCCACCGGCTCGAACGCACATGACCACGTCGCTGCCGCAGCACTCCTTGCCGCCGTGGAGCGTGGGCATCATGCTCCGCCCGTGCACCGGATACAGCTCGAGGCGCGTCGACAGCGCAGCGACGGCCCTTAGCCGCCTCAGGCCGTGCAGGCAGCCGCGCCAGCAGTCGAGGCAGTCTTCCCGACGAGGGCCACGGCCGCGCCCATTCGATCCCATCGGTGCGCCGCGGGCGAGGGCAGCTCAATCTCGCACCCCAGCGTGGCGGGGGCCGCCCAAGGGCTTGCACCACGGTGCGATGGGGGCACGCGCGGCACCCCAGGGCGGGTGGGGGCGCGCGCGCGCGGCAGCACGCTGCAGCCCTCGGGCCTGTCGGCGAAGCACGAAGAGGGAGCGTGATGCGCGGGAAGGGGGCAGGGGTGCGAAGGCAGCGGCGAGCATGGCTCAGCGCAGGGGCGGGCAAGGGAGCGGAAGCGCTCAGTGGGACCAGTCGCCGCAGCGAGGCAGGCAGACGACGACTGGCCCTGGGGCACCTCGACCCCACACCAAACACCTGTGGCGTGCAGGACCTCGGGGGAGACGCTCTGCAAGCTCGCTGGCCATGGGACCGCCTACCAGCAATGCCCATGCGCTCTCGTATGCCGGGTGCTTCGGCGCGGGAGGTTGCAAAACAGGCCCTTGACTGCAGCAGTTCAGGTCTCTGAACAGGGGGAGGAGCAGGAGGAGGAAGAGGAGCGGGACGATCAGGGGAAGGCGGAGGAGGGGTAAGCATGGGGACAGCACGCGCCGGGGCGAGAGCGCCGTTCTGAGCGGAGGGAGAGAAGCACTGATGCTGAAATGTAGCCGCCGCTGGAAAGGGACACGTATCCATTCCTGAAGGACCTACGCCGTTCGGGTTCAACGGCGCATACAACATGTCCGGTTGGAAACTCTGAGTGCGAGAAAAACTAGGCATAGAGAGTGAGTGCATGGCTGGAAGTTGCCAGGGAAGGATGAAGATCAGGTAGTGCTCACTCCTCGTGTGCAGTTGTCAAGAAGAGGAGGAGGAGGAAGAGGCAGAAGGAGCCAACGCGTCCCTCATGTCTGGATCTACTGGGGGGGGCTCCCGTGGACGGGGCTAGGGGGGATCTCCTGGGGGGCTCTCCTGTAACGTGTCTACGCGTGCATGTGTGTGTGAGCGTAAGAAAACTCATTGCACTCCTTCTCTTTCGGCTACTCCTCCTCCTCCCTCACCCTCCAACTCCTCCTGCTCCTTCCTCTCCTCCGCCTCTTCCCCCCCCAATCCCAAAGTCGGGCTCGACGCCCTGAAGATGTCGGAGCTGGAGCTCGGAGCGGAAAGCGAGGAGCTGGCGGCATCGGGAGAGGAGCTCGCACCCGGGCCTCGCGGGCAGGCCGCTGATGGGCCGGATGGGGCCGCAGAGGCGATCGGCCTGGAGTCGGCGACTGGGCAGGCTGTACAGCGCTGGCAGGGGCAGCCGCTCCGGGTGGCCGGCTTCCGCCCCACCCCCGGGGGGCCTCGTCCGCACGCGGCACTTAAGGGCCTCCCTGCAGGCCCCGATGCGCGCCGCAGCCTGCGGTCGTGAGCTCTGGCTTCGCGTGTCGCTGCGGCGTCCCTGCGAGCGGACGGTGCGTGTCGCCCCGCTCCGCGGGGCGGGGGAGGCTCGGAAAGCTTCGGGACGCGCAAGCCCGGAGTTCGGGAAGCGGACAGCGTGTCGCGCCGAAGCCTCGCCAACGCTCGGAAGTCCCTTCCCCGTGCGCTTGTCGGCCTCGTGCGTGTGCGTTTCTCGCACGGTGGCCCAACATTCCTCTCGGTGGTCCTGCCGGGGGACGTGCACACGCCCGAGCGATGCCAAGAAGCGCGGTGGGCCAGACGCGGCGCAGCGGCACGCCGTCCAGGAATTCCCGACCGAACAGCGGGGCCAGTGTTCGGTCGGGCATGTCCACCTGAAGGCGGATTTTGAAGGACAGGTAACAAGTCAGTCGAAAATGCTCAACACTCGTCACACATAGTCGAAAAGTCGTCCCCTGATTATTTTTTACGTTTCTCGAAGATTCCTCCAATAGAGAGACACGCCCGACTTAAGGCCCGTGCCAGCCCGGCGTGAAGCCTGGGTCGTCGGCCGCGCGGGCCACGCGGCGCCAGGTCGAGAGAGGGGAGTGGCCGCGGCCTCGTCTCGGAGCTTCGCGCGCCGTCGCCGGCTGCACGCAAGAAGAGTGGCCCCAGGCCAGCGTGATCTCTGTCTCTACAGTCAAAAACCCTGATAAGGACGCGCGACTTTGCTCAGGGTACCCTTGCGTCCTTGCTCTTCCTTGCTCTTGCGTCCTTGAGGTTTTCGTCGCCCGCCGCCCCAAAAATCCCAACTTCGGCTCCCAAGGGTCTTGCGTCCTTGCCGCGCGCCCTTACTAGGGTTTTTGACAGTAGTGCACGGCTGCGGGGGGGTGCGAGGGGACCACAACCAAGCGCGCAGGTTGCTGCTGTCGCACTGCAGTCGGCGATCGGGGGGCCCGGTGGGCCCGCACCAAAGATCACTCAGGCGAGAGGTCACTTTCAGGCATACAGGCTTCGGCCCGCAGGCCAGGAGCGCTGACTACCGGCGCCGGCGAAGCGGCCGCCAGCCAGGCCCCTTCATAATGTCGACCTCCAGAGGTCTCGACTTCGGTCGGGCATGTCCTCCTGCAGGCGGAAGTTGAAAGAAACATGACATATAGCCAAGACAAACATGACAAATAGTCAACATAATTACAAAGAGTTGCCCCCCGACTATATTTGGAATGTTCCTCGATACTCCTCCCGCGGAGGGATACAATGCCCGACTTCAGTCTCGACCCATTCCCCGGCCCCGAGGCCCAGCAAGGGCCCCGACGGGCCGAACCTCCCACCAGTCCTCCTTCTCCTCCTCCTCCTCCTCCTCCTCCTCCTCCTCCTCCTTCCTCATCCTACTCCTCCTCCTCCTCCTCCTCCTCCTCCTCCTCCTCCTCCTCCGCCTCATCCTCCTCCCCCTCCCCCTCTCCCTCTTCCAACGCCCCTTCTTCCCCTTTTCGGGAGGGCTTCGCCCTCCCCCTTACCGCCTCCACCGGACCTGGGCGGGGCGCCCCTCGACCGACTATAGAGCGTCCAAGAGGGCCTCGGCGAGAAGATCAAAATCCTAGGATCGACACGTGATTCGGGCACATGTTGGCCTCCTGGGGGGGGCTCTGATTGACTAGCCCCACTCTTCTTTGATCGATCTCCTCCAAGATGGCCCAAGATGGCCTCCGAGGCTCGCAAGGAATGCCCAAAGAGGGTCCCGGCGCCCAGGAGGCCCCAATAGGCCCCCACGAGGTCCCCAAGAGTCTCCCAAGAGACCCTCGAGATGCCCCCAAGAGGCTCCCCCGAGGCACCCAAGACGCTCCAAGAGCCCCCCAAGACCGCCCGGAGGACCCCAAGACGCGCCAAGAGGATTCCAAGAAACTTTCAAGAGACATCCGAAGAGACTCCGTGAGGCATCCAAGAGGCATCCAGCCATTCTGCTCGCCGACGACAACTACAACGTCCATCCTCCCCCTTGTGGGTACGACGGCTTCCAAGGCATCCCGCCTGGGCATCGCTTCTGGAGGGGCTGGTGGAGTGACGCGAGGCGCCTGGACTGGCGAAGGACCTCCCGACGTGCCTTCCTCATGGCTCGAGAGGGGGTCTGGGGCCGGGGGCGTCTAGGACGGGGGCGTCCAAGAGGGGGTGCAAATCCTTGCCCGATGCACTTGCGCGGTCCTGGGGGGCCAGGGAACGCATTGAAATAAGAACAGGCGTCATGAGATCTCGGGAGACATCATGGCCCCCACCATGATGTCCACCCCCCTAGTCTTAGGTCGGGCGTGTCCCCCCACAGGTGGATTTGTTCGAAACACAAGAAGTAGTCAAACCAGCATTTTAAAAGTACCACACATGCTAAAACAAATCGTCCTCTTACTATTTTGTTGGCTAGTTTTGAACATTCCTCCTATAGGGGAACGTGCCCCCTATCATCACCCCCCTCTTGGCCGCCCCCATGGGGGGGCATGGCCCCACTTGCGCTTTGCGGTGGTGGTCCTGAGCGTTTCCTCCTCCTCTCCTCCTCCTCCTTCCTCCTCCTGCTCCTGCCTGCTCCTCCTTTTCCTCTCCTCCTCCTCCTCTCTCCTCCTCCTCCTCCTCCTCTCCTCCCCTCCCCTGCCCGTCCTCCTCCCCCTGGCTCTCTCCTCCGCTGTGCTGGACTTGCTCCTCCGCCTCTCCTACTCCTCCTCCGCCTCACTTCCTCCTCCTCTCCTCCTTCATCCTCCTCTCCCCCGCTCTCCCAGCCTCTCTTCCTCCTCGTCTCCTCCTAGTCCTCCTCCTCCTCTCCTCCTCCTCCTCCTCCTCCTCCTTCCCCTCCCCCCTCCTACTCCTACGCCTCCTCCTCCTCCTCCTCCTCATCCTCCTCCTCCTCCTCCTCCTCCTCCTCCCCCTCCTCCTCCTCCTCCTCCTCCTCCTCCTCCTCTCCTCCTCTTCCTCTCTGCCCCTGCCCCTGCCCTCTCCTCCTCCTCCTCCTCCACCTCCTCATCCTCCTGCCACTTCCTCTCCTCCTCCACCTCCTCCTCCTCCTCCTCCTCCTCTCATCCTCTCCTCCTCTCCGCTCTCCTCCTCCTCCTCCTCCTCCTCCTCCCCCCTTCCTCCTCCTCCCCTGTCCCCTCCTCCTCCTCCCCTCCCCTACTCCTCCTTCTCCTCTCCTCCTCCGTTCCTCCTCCTTCCTCCTCCTTCCTCCTCCTCCTCCTCCACCTCCTCTCATCCTCATCCTCCTCCCCTCCTCCTCCTCCTCCTCCTCCGCCTCCTGCGCCTCCTCCTCCTCCCCATCCCCTGTCCCTCCTCCTCTCTCCTCCTCCTCCTCCTCCTCTTCCTCCTCTCCTCCTCCCTCCTCCTCCTCCTCCTCCTCCTCCTCCTCCTCTCCTCTCCTCCCCTCTGCGTCTCCTCCCTCCTCCCCATCCTCATCATCCTCCTTCTCCTCCTCCTCCTCCCCAGACCGCGCCTCCTCCCACCTCCTCCCATTCCTCCTAATTACGCTCCTCCTCCTCCTCCTCCTCCTCCTCCACCTTTTCCTTCTCCTCCTCGTCCACATCCTCCTGCTCCCTCTCCTCCAGTGCCTGGGCCCCCCTCACTCCTCGTCACGCTTCCCACTCTCCCCCTCCCCATCCTCCACGCAACTCCTCATCCCCCTCCTTCCCTTACCGTC